GAACTCACAACGATCCTCCTGCCTCAGCCTCCCCAGTGCTGGATTACAGGCGTGTGCTACCACGCCCAGCCTCTGGCATTGTTCTGTTCGTGGTTTCATGGGGATACCTGGGCGGGGCCTGGAGATAACCCGGCCCCAAACTGCGAGGGCAGGAAACTGAGAGGGGGTGGGTGGGGAGGCTGGGCTCTTCCTCCGTCTCTTTCTCACCGCATCCCTGCCCAGAATCTAAGGAACCACTGCCCTCCAAGAACCCCTTGTCTCTCAGGCTGTCGGGTTGGGCACATCCGTGCCCGCTGCGTGGGGAGGGACCCCGACAACGCTGCCCCGCCGCTCAGACCCCAGGCTCGTTGCTTGTGTGTCCCCAGATACAAAGGAGACACGGCTCTGGGAGAAGTCATTTATTGGAGGCACGGGGGAAGCGGGAGACTGAGCCGCTGACCCCTGGTCTGGGGGTGGGCTAGGCACCAAGGTTAGAGGAGGGAGCCCAGCACAAGTGTGTAAGTAAAAGGACAGTGATGGGTCGACAGAGGAGAGACTCACTGCTTGGGACCAGCTGCTCTGGGGAGAGGGCTTCTTGGTCCCCATCAGCGCACACAGGAGCGCGGCAGGGTCGGGGAGGCCACGCGGAGGTAGCGGTACCCCTCCAGGGCGGCCGGGAGGAGCAGCAGGCCGCTGAGGGGGTCCTTGCGGCAGCGCCCCATGGCCTCCTTGTAGCTTATCCGCTCCTTGGAGATGGGGTCTGTCAGATCCTTGTCGTAGCCAGACTCGTCCTGCAGGAGCTGGGCCAGCTCTTCGCTGATCATCCCCAGGAGCACGGCCTGCGGGACGGGGATGCGGCCGGTCCTCTTTGGGTCGATGAGCCCCCCGGTCAGGTGCTGCGCCTGCAGGTGTGGAAAGACGCTCTCCTGGGGCATCCAGCCCTTCTGGATGGCCTCACCCACCGACAGCCTCTTCTTGGTGACAGGGTCCTCGATGCCGGTGAAGGCCTTTTGGGCGTTGAGCAGCCGCTGCAGGGAGGTGTTCTCGATGAGGCCCCTCTCCAGGGCCTTGTGCACGGAAAAGCGCTCGCGGCTGAGGAGGTCCACGATGCCCCCTGTGGCCGCCTGCGCCTCCAGCAGCTTCTGCCCTGTGAGGGGGTCCAGCAGGTCCTTGGCCATGGCTGTTTTAATGCTGCACTTGTTGTCCGTGGTTTTGTCGTAGACCCCAGCAATGGGGAAGCTGTCATCGGCGAGGCCGAAAGAGAAGCCTGGGGAGAAGAAACTGGTGGTATGGGGGGCTGGGGAGCAGAGTGGGGATTTGGAGATGATGGAGCCGATGGAGAGAGAGGAGCAGGGCTTCGACTCGCCCGCTACGAGCAGGGCGAACTCGGAGATGGGGAGGCGGCCGTCCTTGTACAGATGGTACTCCTCCTTGGAGATGCGGCGGCTGCGCAGGGCCGCCTCAATGGAGTACTGCTTCCCGCTCTTGCGGTCCAAGAGCACGGACTCCTCCCCACAGGGGCCCGAGGTGGTGACCTCCTCCCAGTCGCACTCCAGCTCCTGCAGCTGGAGGTACTGGCCTCGGTCGATGATGCCCCTCTTGTAGGCCTCATAAGGGGACATGTCGTCCCCAGTCTCAGGCTCCAGGATGCAGATCTTGGTGGAAAGGTTGGTCTCCCTGGTCTGGGTCTCCTGGGTGAGCTCCTCCCGGCTCACCTTGGCATGCAGGTCGCGGAGGGTCCTCTCCTTCTGGTAGATCTGATCCTTCTCTTGGAGGATGGAGGCCTCAAGCTTCGAGAGTGCCTGGTCCTGCTGGGCCGCCTTCTGCCGCTCGCTGTCCATCTTCTGGCTGAGCAGGTTTGCTTCCTCCTGCAGCTGCAGCACCTTCTGCTGCTTCTGCAGCTCCAGCTCCCGCAGCTCCTGCTGCAGCCGCACGCACTCCTGGCCGGCCTGGTCTCGGGCCTTATGCAAGTCTGCCTCCTCCCGGGACCAGGTCCTCTTCACCGCCTCGGCCCTGTCAATCCGCTCCCGCAGCCGCCACGCCTCTTCCTCCTGGGCCCGGCGCGCAGCACGCTCCTTATTGAGCATCTCCCATACGTGCGCCCGCTTGCCTTCCAGCACCTGGTCCTTCTCTACTCTGATCACTTCCTTGTAGATGGTCTTCTCCTGCAGTTTGGTCTTCTGGAGAACGTCGATCTGGACTTGCAGGCTTTTGCACTCCCGGTGCAGCTCCATCACCTGCGTCTTCTCCTGGTCCAGGTCCCGTCTCAGGGCTTCCGTGGACCTCTCCAGATCTGGGTCCTTCTCCAGCTTGACCACTTCCTCCATGATGATCTTCTCCTGCACTGCAGGAGGCCGCTTCTCTAGCTCCTGGATCCTCAAGGTCAGCTGGCGCAGCTCCTTCTCGGCGGCCAGCTTCTTGCTTCGGTCCTCCTGGAAGCTGAGCAGGCCCTCCTTCTCTTCCAAGCTAGCATGCAGCTGCTGCACCTCGCGCTCCAGCTGCCGCCGCCGCCCCACCTCCTCGTCCAGGCTGCGGCTCAGCCGGCTGTGTTCCTCGCGCAGCTTCGGGTCCTTCTGGGTGACCACCACCTCCTGCACTACCACCTTCTCTTCGGGCTTCCTCCTCTCCAGCAGCAGGTACTTGTTCTGCAGCTCATAAACCACAGCCTCGGCCGCCCGCCTCTTCTGGGCTGCTTCCCGCACCTCCTGGCGGAGCCGCTCGGCCTCCTTCTCCAGCACCGGGTCCTTCTCATGGCGCACCACCTCCTTGTTCACCATCTTGGTCTCCACCTTGGCCCGCTCCCGCTTCCACTCATCCCGCTCCCCTTGCAGCCGGATGAGCTGCTCCTGGCAGCGCCCGCTGGTGTTGACCAGCTCATTGAGCTGAGCCTTGAGGCGGTCGATCTCTCGCAGCACCTCCGGGTTCCTCTCGTGCCTCACCACCTCCTGAGTCACTTCCTTGTACTCCACTGTGGGCTTCTGGGCCCGCAGGAGCTCCAGGTTGGGCAGCAGCCTCTCCACCTCCTTCTCCACACTGCTCCTCTTGCTGGCTGTCTCCTGCAGCTTGGCCTGGAGCCGTGTGATCTCCTGCTCCGTCTCCGGGTCCACCTGGAAGATCTCGTTGACTCGCTCCTGGAACTGCACCTTGGGCTTCTGCTTCTCCGCCACGCTGTACTTACCCTGCAGCTCCCTCAGCTCCCTGGCCAGCAGTGCGTTCTTGTTCCTCTCTTCCTCGAGGGCTCTTTTCAGCCTGGCGGACTCTTTGAGAAGGCCTGGGTCCTGCTCCACCTTCTTCACCTCCTTCCTGATGACCTTGGGCTCCACCAAGCTGATCGCCCGCTCCAGGTCTTTGATGCGGGCCTGTAGCTTGGCCACAGCCTCCTCCGCCCGCTTTCTCCTCGCCGCGTCCTCCTCGATCTGCAGCCTCAAGGCCTGGGCTGCCGTGACCATCTCCAGGTCCTTCTCCACCTTGACCACCTCTTTGACCATGACCACCTTCTTCACGTTCACCTCCTTCTGCTCAAGGGCCAGCAGCTCCTCCTTCAGTGCCTCCACCTGGGCCAAAACCGCAGCGTTCTCCCCCCGCAGCTGCTGGATCTTGCCACTCAGCTGGGCTGCCTGGCTGTCCAGGCCCGGGTCTCTCTCGATCTGGGTGACCTCCTTGGTCAGCAAGTGGGGCTGCATGGTCTTCCTCTTGTTCTCCAGCTGGACAACCTTCTGGGCCGCTGCCTCTAGGCTGGTCTGCAGCTGGGCCCGCCTCTTGGTCTCCTCCTCCACCTGGGACCGCACCCTGGCCAGGCTGTCCTCCAGCTGGGGGTCCCGGTAGAACTCCACCACCTCCTTCTCCTCCAGCCTCTCCACGGGTCGCTGGGTTCTCAGCTGTAGCAGCTGGTGCCTCTGCTCCTCTAGCTGGCGCTGCGCGTGGGCCACCCGCTTCCTCTCCTCTTCCAGCTGGGACTTCAAGGCTTCTGACTCCCTTCCTGCTTGGGTTGGGCCCTCAGACCCCTGCTTTGCCTCATGGGTCGCCTGGATGTCCTCACTGAGCTCCTTCTGCGAAGTGAAAGGAAGAAGGGAGAGTAGTGGGGCAAAGGGTGGAAGATGGCCTCATTTTTCTTTGCTTTCTTTTTGTGGAACCGGGGAGTGGACCCACAGTCTTCACACTGAACTACATCTCCAGTCCTTTTATTTAACTTTTTATTATTTATCTATTTTTTAATTTAGGTTTTTAGAGACAGGGTCTCACTATGTAGTTCAGGCTGGCCTCAAATTCACGGTGATCCTCCTGTCTCTGCCACCCAGGCACTGGGATTGCAGGCGTGTGCCACCACCCTGAGCTAGGAGCCCCATTTTTCTGTATGACGTCCCTGAGGTCACAGGCCACTCCTTGCTTCCTGAGACTTCCCTGGAGGTCCTGGGAGGTGGAGCTGAAGACCTAAGATGCCTGGGTGCAGGATTTCAAGGAGACCCGGGCCGTGATGCTGGGATGTAGGACAGGTTCAGGCCAAGCTGGCACTAGATAGTACCAAGAGAGCAGGACCAGCTCTCCCTTCCAAACCTTCCCTTCTCCCTTCCGTCAGGCTCCCAGAAGCGGGACCACCCTTCTCTAGGCGATACTGGCATATCACGGAGCAGAGAAGCTGGAAGTCACTAGGAGCCGCGAGAGCACCTGGTTTCTGCTCTACCAGGTTGGAGCCCAGTGGCCGGTTACCACGGTGGCTAAAGACTCCAGGGATTTTCTCCGCTCTCCGGGTCAGAGGTCCTGTGCCCATTGCAGGACTGTCCTGTGGCTAAGCTGTGACTGGACGAAAAGACTGTCCAGCCTGTAAGAGCCACTGGGAAGAGGACTGCAGCCATCCTGCCCAGGACCTGCAGGCTGCAGAGGAGGAGGACAGGCAGATAGGCAGGCCAACACCCGGCCAAGCTGGCCGTTGGGGGAACAGAGTGGGCATCATTTCTGTACCTTCTCCAGCATCTTTCTGGCAAATTCCAGCTGGTGCAGCAGCTGCTGCTGGGCAGCTGTGACCTCAGTGTAGGTCTTGGCAAGGGTCTTCTCCTGGAGAGGGTCAAAGGAGGGACAAGGAGGGCAGAGTGAGCGCCTGGCTTGGAGGCTGCAGCGCTGGCGCTGAGGGACACTGAGCCCCGCTGGGCCGGTCTCACCTGGGCCTGGATGCTGTCCTGCAGGGGGGCCACTCGGGGCCTCTTAGGGGCCGACTCTGCCAGGCTGGGCTCCAGGGAGCAGCGGTAGGTGTCTGCCTGCAGCTCGTAGTCCTGACCAGGGGAGAAGGACCAAGGCTGCCGGTCAGTGGAGGAGGCTGGGAACGAGGAGCAAGCACCAGGAGAGGGAGGGAGGCTGGTGGGTGAGGGAGAAAGAGATGCAGGGGAAGTGCTTACCTGGAGAGCCGCCTGCAGGTCCTGCGAGAGCCGCGTCACTGTGGCTCTGTCTCGCCCCCGGCCCTGAATCTCCTGAACCAGCCTCTGTTGGGCAGGAAGTGAGAGTCAGGGGGCGGGAGGCCCTCCTCATCCTGCCTGTCCGCTTCTCCTTCAGCGCGGGGGCAGCCAGTGCAGGGGGAAGGAGGGGACAGGGAGAGCTGGGGCAGGAAGCCCCTCCTTCCCCTGACAACCCCGCCTTCCTCCTCCCTCCTAGCACAGTCCCTGTTCTTGGCCCCCCTCAGGACTCTGACCGGCTCGGTATGTTGTATACAAAGGAACCCAGCAGGGTGTGTTACAGCACAGATCTGCCGGCCACCCTGCCTCATTCAGCAGTCTAGGGTGGCGTGGGGAGGTGCACTGTGGAGGAGCTCCCAGGTGACACTGATGCTGGGGTCCTGGGACGACCCTTTGAAAACCACTGCCCTGCCACAATTGTTCTTAGAACTTAGAAAAAAAAATACTGATGCTCTGACCACAGGGATTTAGCTCAGCGGCACAGCGCCTGCCTGGCAAGCTCGAGGTTGTGAGTTCGATTCCACGCACCGGAAAAAAAACAAAACAAAATAAAACAAGATTCCAGAGTAATTGTTCTGGGCAGAGGGTCCTGGTTCCTCTCTCCCCTGGACTTCCACTCTGTCTCCTCAGGGCCCTCCCTGTCTGCATTCCCATTTCCTCTCAAACACTCAACACTCAGAATCAGAGCCACTTGATTTATTTTTGCCATACTGGGGACTGAACCCAAAGACTTCATGTTGGGCTACAGTCCCAGCCCTTTTTAAAAAAAAAAAAGTTTTGAGAGATGGTCTCAATCCAAGTTTCTAAATTGCCCAGGCTGGACTCACTTGTGATCCTCCTGCCTCAGCTTCCCAGAGTGCTGAGACTGCAAACTTGCATGCCTCCTTCCCTGCCCCCAGCTCAGAACCAACTTTTAAACACTAGCCGGGGGTGCTCCCCAGGGCTTCCCAATGCTGCACAGTACAATCCAGCCGCCTTCCTATGCCTGGCAAGTCCCGGATGGGCCAGTCCTCATCTGGCCACTCTTACCCCACAGGCCCCTGTTTTCCCCTGACTGCGTGCCCTCGGCGTGGGACGTTTCTCTCCCTTCCACCTTGTTTCTCAGGGCTCTGCTTAGGGCTCGGTTCCTTTCACGCTGCTTGGCCCGACCCCACGAATGTCCACCAGGGGGCGCCCACCGCACTCCGGCTTGACCCAAAAACGTTTATCAGCTTTCGGGCTTGGGATGCACCAGCTTCCCTCCTTCGACTGTGAGCTGCCTGGGGGCGGAGGCTTCACCCTACCCACGTGGTTTATTGCTGGTACAGAGCAGGAACTTGACAAGGATGAGGAACCTCCGTGAATTTGGACCTCCGTGAATCTCACTGCCCACCTGGAACCAACTGGGCTAAGTGAAGCGCTGCTGGTGGAGATCGGGAAGGGCCAGTTTCTGGTTTCAGTTTGAGGCCTCTTACAGCGCTTTTGATCCGTGGCCACTAGGGGGCACACGTGCGCAGGCTGCCATCTGTAGGGCAGGTGGAGCTGGCGGGGGGCTCTAGCTCTGGGCAGGTCACCAGAGCCCTTGTCTCTCACCTTCTGTGCTTGCAATTTGTAGTCGATCTGGCTGGGCCCGTCGCTGGGCCTCACCGGGTTGTGGGGCAGGTGCTCCAGCCAAGAGCTCAGGTTGTCCTTGCAGTTCTTGAACTGCTGGTAGGTGAGGCTGGCGTCCTGCACAGTTTTCTCCCTGCAGGAAGACAAGTCCAGGGCAAAGGTAAAGGTTGCCATAGTGGACGCGTGGGGGTACACAGAGGAGGCAGGTGGGTGCTTCTCCCAGGGACAGGTCAGGAGGCCTGAGTGATCTGCAGATCCCCCATTCTGCTGGGGCTGGGGATTCAGAGATGGAATAGACAGCCAGGCATGCTGGTGGTGCACACCTGTAATTGCAGCACTTGGGGAGGCTGAGGCAGGAGTATGCCAAGTACAAGCCAAGCCTGGGCAACTTAAGCACTTAGCAAGCCCCTGTTTGAAATTTTTTTTTAAAATTTTTTAAAAAAATTTCTTCTTTTTGTCTTTTTGAGATAGGAAGACCCTGTCTCAAAAAGACAAAAATAAATAAATTCATTTTTTTTATTGTGACACTGAGGGTTGAACCTAGGCCTTCTCTTTTATTTTTTATTTTTATATATTTATGTATTTATTTTTGTCTTTTGTGAGACAGGGTCTCACTATGCAGTTCATGCTGGCCTTGAGCTCACTTTGTAGCCCAGCCTGGTCTTGAACTTGCAATGATCCTCCTGCCTCAGCCTCCTGAGTGCTTGGATTACAGGTGTGTACCACCACGCCCAGCCTCTCTTTTATTTTTTACTTTGAGATTTGTAAGGTCTTGCTAAGTTGACTGGGTTGGGCTTAAACTTGCGATACTCCTGCTTCAGTCTCTCAGAGTGCTAGGACTGTAGGCATGCACACCTGGACCAGCTCATCACCCCATTTTAAAGGTGACGAAACAGTTCCCAAGAGGTGACATTTCTGGCCAGTGTCACACAGCTGGGCCCCACCCCAGGCCGTGTCTCATGGGGACCTGCCACTTGCCCTGCTGGCCTAGCTACTCACCGCAGATCCAGCTGGTCCCCCACAGCGTGGTAGCGGTCGGTGAGGGCCCGTACCTGGCGCTGCTGGCGCGGCAGGTCTTGGCAGAACTCCTGGAAGTGGTTTTGCAGCGCACCACACGCATGCTCAGTGGCCTTTAGTTGGCGGTGCAGCCCCAGCACGCAGGCCTGCTGTTCCAACAGCTCCCTTCGCTGGTGCTACAGAACGAGGGGACATGGTGCCATGTACACTCAAGGTTCAGAGAGATACTGTGTCCACCCCAGAGCTTCTACCCAGTGCTTGGCCAGGCTGTGTCCCCCTCCCGCCAGCAAGAGGCCCGACAGCCCCTACCTGCAGCTCCCTGACCCTGTCCTGCAGAGCCCCTGGGCCATCGGATATGAGGGCCTCCTGTGCCAGGGTGGACTCAAAGCCCCGGATGACCTTGTCCGCTTCCTGGATCTGCCGCTCCAGACCCAGGGCAGCCTTGGCTCTGCCCAGAGGAGACAAGGGTCAGACACCTGCTCGGCTGCACTCTGCTGCCCCCCAGAGGCCCCCGGAGCACTCACCGCTCCCTGTAGAGGCCGCACAGAACCTGTGCATCGCTGTACTTGTTCTTGACGTTGTTGAGGACCACAGGCAGCTGCAGGGCAGCCGGGCCCACAGGCTGCGCAGACAGAAGTGCCTCACAGTCCTGCTGGACCTTCTCCTTCTCAGCTCCCAGGCTCTGCAGGCGCTGAGCTGTGCCCTGGGGAGAAACAGCGGTCAGGGATCTCAGGGTCCACCTAACCCTGTGCCGTGGAGACAGACAGGGGAGCGTGGTGGGTGCAAGCTCAGCTCAGGCCTGGCCGCGCCAGTCCCCGTGTGGGTGACCGAGGCAGGCCGGCCTCTGACGCTCATCTCTTCATCTACAGAACGATCGATGGGAGGACGGAACGAGAGCCTGTGCATCAGGTGCCGGGCGGCGGGGCCGGGGCACGGCTGTCATCTTCACAAGCCTTCAGCCCTGCTGACCCAGGACCAAACAGCCTGCACCTGGCTCAGTCCGCTCAGAATCACTGTCTGCACGCTCTCGTCTGCTGCCTAAAATGTGGGTTAGGGCAGCACGGTCCCCCAGCCCCAACACCGTTCATATGCCAGGTGCAGTGACTCCAAAGCCCAGCTGTGACCCGCTGGGCATGGTGGTGCACGCCTGTAATCCCAGCACTCTGGGAGGCTAAAGCAGGATTGCAAGTTCGAGCCTGGCCTGGGCAATTTAGCAATTTAGGGAGACCCTGTCTCAAAGCAAAACATTTGAAAAGGGCTGGGGATGCAGCTCAGTGAAAAGGGCTTGGGTTCAATCCCTGGTGCCACAAACAAAACCCAAGGACCTATTTGGGCGTGACACACTCAGCCAACACCAGGGATGGCCTCGCCCAGGGCAGCCAGTGGACCCTTCGCCACTCGGCATCCCCGCCTGTGAGACAGCCCCGCTGCCCAGGGAGCGCCAGGCTTGCTCCTTTCCATCCCGGAGCAGCGTCCTGGGCCCCTCCGTAGCACTTCAATCCCCTGCACCCCGCCATGCCTTCCGGCCCTGGCCCCCGTCCAGCTGAACCGCTGCCTCCAAAATCTGTCCTACAGGATAGAAGAAAAGCTGGGTGTGGTAGTGCACGCCTGTAATCCCAGCACTTGGGAGGCTGAGACAGAAAGGTCATTGCGAGTTTGAGACCAGCCTGGGCTACAAAGTGAGCTCAAGGCCAGCCTGAACTACATAGGGAGACTCTGTCTCAAAAAGACAAAAAAAA